TTCTTTCTGGAGTGAAGTGGAATCTCAGTGTTGTTTTCATTTGCATCTCTTGAATGACCAGTGATGTTGAACATTTTTTCATGTATTTATTTACTAGTTCTACTTCTTTGTCTGAGAAATGTGTCTTCATTTCAAATGCCCATTTTTGGATTGGGTTTTTAAATTTGGGAGGTCTGATCTTTTTAAGTTGTTTATAGATTCAAGATACTAGACCTTTGTCTGAGGAAAAGCATGTGAAGATTTTTCCCACATTGTGGGTTGTCTCTTCACACTGCTGGTGGTTTCTCTAGCTGTGCAGAAGCTTTTTAATAAGAAGAGATCCCACTTGTTGATTGTTTGTATTAGTTCACAGGCAACTGAGGTTTTGTTCATAAAACCTTTTCCTACACCAATATCTTCAAGAGTTTTACCTAGCCTCTGATCCAACTGGTTCAGAGTTTCTATTTTAATATGTAGATCTTTAACCAATATTGATTTTAGTTTAGTGCATGGTGAGAGATATAGGTCAAGTTTTAATCTTTGGCAAGTTGAAACCCAATATTTCCAGCACCATTTATTAAAGAGGCTATCTTTCCTCCACTGAGGGTATTTGGCTCCTTTACCAAAGATAAAATGGCTGAGAGTGTCTGGCGTTGTTTCTGCATTTTCTAATCTGTTCCACTGGTCCTCAAGCCTGTTTCTTTGCCAGTCCCATGCTGTTTTTATCACAGTAGCTTTGTAGTATGGTTGCAGGTTGGGAATTGTGATACCCCCTGCCATGTCTCTGTTACCTAGAACTGCTTTTGCTATTCTGGCTCTCTTCTTGTTCCAAATGAATTTTTGGGTTGCTTTCTCAAGGTCCATGAAGTATGCTCCTGGGATCTCAATTGGAATTGCTTTGAATCTATATAGCATTTTGGGAAGTTACGGCCATTTTCACTACATCAATCCTTCCTACCGAGAAGCAGGGGGTGTCTGTCCATTTTCTGATATCATCTTCAATCTCTCTTTTCAGAGTGCTCTAGTTTTCAGAGAAGAGGTATTTGATTTCTTCTGTTAGGTTGATTCCTAGGTATTTCAGTTTTTTGGATGCTATTGTGAAACGAATTGTTTGGCCTATTTCTCTCAGTGAGTCTGTCATTGGTGTAGAGGAAAGCTATTGATTTTTGTGTGTTGACCTTGTACCCAGCTACTTGACTGAATTTGGTTATTATGTCTAGAAGACTTTTGGTGGAGTTCTTGGGGTCTTCTATATACAGTTTCATGTCATTTGCAAATAATGACAGTTTGACTTCTTCATTTCCTATCTTTATTCCTTTTATTTCTTTCTCTTGTCTAATTGCCATGGCTGGTGTTTCCAAAACTAT